TAATATCAAAGTGGTGCCTATTTGTGTCTACTGCTTGCTTTGCAGAAATGAGCTCAATCAACACCACCCCAAAACTATATACATCACTTTTGTCTGTAAGATGGTAGCACTGATAATACTCAGGATCAACATAGCCAGGGGTCCCTTGTGGAGCAGTTGACACATGGGTAACATCATTGGGGAAAAGTCGAGACAGACCAAAATCAGCCACTTTCACATGGAAACTGTTGTCTAGAAGAATGTTGTTGGTTTTGACATCACGGTGTATGATTTCTTTACCATGAAGGTAAGCTAAAGCATTAGCAGTCTCTATGGCAATGCGCAACCGAACAGGCCAAGTAAGCAAGCCAGACTTTGCCCTTCTCCCGTGAAGATGATCAGCCACAGTTCCATTAGGAATGTATTCATACACAAGGAGAAGTTCTCTGCTGTGCCTTGAGGTGCATCCATATAGTGTCACGAGATTCGGATGTCGTATGTCAGCTAGGATCTTAATTTCATTTATGAACTGTTCAACACGTTTGAGATTTTTCTCAAACAGGCGCTTTACTGCCACAACACGCCCATCACTGAGCACACCTGATCAAAGAATTGAAGGAACCGTGAAAAGACCAGGAAAACAAAAAGTATTAACCAATGCCTTACATAGGAAACTGATACAAAGAAGGCAAGAAAAACATTTATCTTCTCACCATGGTAAACAGTGCCAAAACCCCCCTCTCCAAGTTCTTTAGAAGGATCAAAATTATCAGTTGCTTTTTCAAGCTCAGCATAGCCGAAGACCTGAACTCCAAAGTAGGTGCTTCCTTTTTCTAGGTCAGACTTTACTGAGGGATAAGAAGGAAAGCTTTCAGAATGAGTAGTGGAGGGAGTAGTAGGGCCCAGGCCTTTGCCTAATGGAGGAGTTGCAGCCAAGTCTTTGCTTTGAGATTGAGCAGCAATTCTCTTTCTTCTCTGTATCCATAATAAACACCACACTCCCAGAAGAATACCAGAAATTACTCCACTGGCTATAAGGCCTAAAGATCAAAAACAGAAAAGAATGTTCAAATTATAACTCACCTTTGGTAAAAATGATAATACTAGAAAAATATAAGATATTAAGGATAATTACCTGTAATGAGTAGTATTTTTTTCTTGTCTGCAACAATCACAAGATTCAAAAATTCAGTAAAACGTCTATGACAGAATTGTAACAATCGAAAATCAAGATAGACCAAGTTATGAACCTCAGAAGTTCAGGTGAACTTAATTATGGTTCTGGAAGCAAATGCAGAAATAATGCAGAAATTAGAAATTAGGCAAAGAACCAACATTATCACATAGATAGCAAAGTGAACAAATCAACCCCAAAAACATTTATTCTAAAAACTCTTTGCTGTTATTATAATCTTACCGACTATAAGAATTATTTATATGGATGGACCAAAATGAACATGAAATACCTCATCAGGAATACCTGGTATGTTACAAATTCGATCACCACAAATGCAAACAAAATGATCCAAAAACCCACAGTCCCTATCCGAATCACGACACCTAACGCAATCGTCCTCATTTGGAGTAGTATAAATCACGCTAAATCCCTCCATTAAAGCTTCCCTGAGAGTAGAACTATTGGTCTCAATTTTATCCGCCGCAGCTTGCAACATGGGCAGTTTGATGCTGATGTTACAGCGAATAATCTTGAATATGGGATCATTCGGAACTGGACCCAACACATCGTACGCGGCACTACTTAAATTCCCATCCCCGCACCAGAACAGGTTCTCCAGGATATACACCTGGACCTGGACCGGAGTACACTCATAGAACAGCGAGAGGTTTTTGCTGTCTGGGCTGAGATTGAATAAAGGGGAACTCAGACTGGTGTTAGCAAATTGGAGGGTACATGTGTTGTTGTACAGTTCCGAGCGGGAAAGCATTATGCTCTCTATGTTTCGGTCGAGTTGGATGATCCTATAACTCAGTGAGTCCATAATTAACTGGGGGATTTCGTCGTCGGTGCAGGTGAGGAAGAAGCCCGGTGGGCCGCAGTATGACGGACGAGGCCCGCCGATGAATGGGTAAGAGAGGTTTTGGAGGCCCCCACATGAGAAGGTCTGGTTGCAGTTGGGGAAGGTGGAAGTGTTGTTTTGGGCAGAGGAATGCGTTCCATGGGCGGAATGGGGGAAGATGAGCAGGAAGAGGAAAAGAGAGGGAGCATCGTGAATGCCTGAGGAGAGGGAAGGGGCAGAATAGGTGTTGCATTTTGAGAAAAGAAAGCTGACCGGCTTGAAAGGGCAAGTGAGTTGACCGTTGACTAGGGAGCATGATTTTGTTGACTCGAACTGAACAGTGACATAGAAAGTGGTGGCTGTCTTAAAAAAAAAAAGTGGGAGACAAAATCAAAAAGAGCAGTGCTAGGGGCACTCGCCTCTTGCACTCTCCGGTCAACACTTCCCCTTTCATTGGGCCACGTAAGCTCGTTTCGGGCTTTGTAGTGCAACCTCTCGCCGACAAAATAACGTGGCCCAATAAAAGTGAAAGTGCTGGCCGGAGAGTGCAGGAGGCGAGTGCCCCTAGCACTCGTCAATCAAGAATTAACTTCCTTTCTTTTTCCCTTCCTTGTTGAGTTGATTAATGTTTGGGACGCCAGATGGCGGTCAAATTCAGATAAACTAAAAAAGTGGGAGTTGGAGAAACATTTAAATTTTAAGGTAAAAAACAAATTAAAATAATAAAAAAATATTTTATCATTTAAATTGTATTAAATTCCTGATAGAAGAAGGTGCTCCCTCTCAGGTGAGGGGAAGGAGCGATAGGAGCTGCGAGGCGGCAATTCCTGATAGGGAATTGAAAGACAATAAAGTAGGTTTGGACAGCATATTTGGAAAATTAGAAAAGGCAAATTCAAACATATACAAGCCTTTGTAACTATTGTACCAAAAATGAAAACAAAAGAAAAGAAAAAAATCAAAAAAGCATTGGTAATATGGGCTTTGGCATGTGATATTGTGATTGAATGTGGGCAGATCAGGTGAAGAGATCAACGAACAGCAATGGTGGGCCGGTTTTCTAGAAGGGATATTATTGTAACATCACTCTGTTTGACTACAAATATAAGCTGCTTCAAAAGGATGCGGTACTACTGAGTTCCTTTTCTTTGTGGGCCGGTTTTCTTTTGATAAAAAATTTCCAAGGACATGAGTCCATGATTTTTAACAACAAAGCATGTGAGGAGTTGAATTTGTCAATAAAATGACAAGATCAGGCAATTTCATTAACCCAACAAATAAAAAATACGCAAGGCTCACGAGATTGATGTAAATTAAAATGTTTTTATATTTTAAATATAATATTTCTTAATCAAATGTAAGATTAAATAAAATAATATCCATCTTTTTATTTATTTAATATGTAAAAAAAAAAATAATAAAAGCATCCACTTATATCTAGCAAGGTAGCTAAAGGGGACTTTGAGATTGCCTATAGTATTTTGTGTACACAAAAATTATATTATTGTTTGTTAATAATTTTTTTAAAATATTATATTATAAAATATTAATAAAAATTTATTTAATTATAACGAATTAATATTTTTATTAGTGCATATTTAGTTTTTTTTTTTTTTTGAACAAAGTGATAAGAGTGGGATTCAAACTTCGAACCCACTAAGAAAAAGAGGGACTACACTTCCAAGGTGACTCGAAGGTCAGGTGCTAGTGCATATTTTGTTGGAAATTAAAAATTTTTTAAATTTCAATACCCTCAAATTTCTTAACAAACAAAAACCTAAGATATTAATTTTAGTTTTAAGTTTGATATTTTAAATTTTAATTTTAGAAAATAAATATCCGTACCCGGGGGCTGATCGGTGAAGGGCCTGTAGAACAAACCGTATCAGGGGGCCGATCTGTGCAGTAACAGGAAAATTTTTTCAAAACCGTACATACCCACATTGCCCGCCGGAGCCTCTGCAACGATCACATAAGCTATTATTTTGCATTCCACTGCAACCCAAATCCTTTGGCTAGAGCTTCAACCAGATTTTCCCAGCTCAGACTCTGACTAGTCTCCACAGACTGGATTTCGGATTGCTTTGCACCAAAACAACCCACTCACCGCAAGTACCCAAGAAGCCGTCGATTGCAGTCGCAATAGAAGCCAGGTCGGCTAACTCACTGAGATTTCTGGTGAGGTAATAGCCTTAGAAGGTGGTTGTGATTACATTACAAGTAAAATTACTGAAGAACTCAAGTCCCTGATTTGGTATTGAGTTGGAGGAGGAGGGCAACGATAATAGAGGCTTATATCCTGAGAGTCGGAAGTAAATTCAAAGAGGTCAGGATTCAGAGTGGTGTTGATTAGGAAGGTGGGGCAGAGGTTGTCTAGATAATCGGTTCCGGCCAAGGTGAGGAGCCGGTTCTCGTTGTTGATTCCAAGGACGTGGTATGTTGCTGACATGACTCTGACATCGGGGGTTAAGTCACTGCAGTTCAGCTGGAACCCCGGGAAGGCACAATAGTCCGGCCTGTCTGAACCCCAGAAGGGATAGCCAATATTCTCAATGCTTCCACAGGCGAAAGTCCCCTTGGAGTTCAGATAATGTTCATCCACAGGGGATGCAAATTTAGGAGCATGGATCAAGACGAAGGTGATGATGATGAAGAAGAAGAAAGACCAAGGGAGGTGGAAGGGATGCATTTTGTCCGATGAAACAGGAGAATAAGAAGATGGGGATGAAGTGGTTTTAACTGTTAATCATGATGATGCAAAAATGGTGGCGTTTGAATAAGTGAAATGGGGAAATTAATTATATTGGAACGACTAATCTAGTGGCGGTCAAATGAAATTAGGTAGACTAACAGAAGAGACGAATGCATGTGCCCATTGTGGAAATTTAGATATTCTGAAGAACTTAGAATTCCAGAATATAGAAACACAGTCTTCCATCTCTAATAAAGTCAAAGAAATCCAGCGTATCAATCAATTTCCTTGTTCGAGAAATCACCCTTGTGTGTAAAAAGAATCAAGATCAAGAATATGAGACTAGAACAGAATTAAATGTTGAGAAATTTTGGCTCCTAATGTTGAATCCTTGTGTGTAAGAACAAAACGTCTTCCAAGTCTCAAAATTAGATGATAGTGATATGAACAAATCAGAAACGCATAAAGGATGATCATTGACCGGCCAGTTCCGAAAATGAAATTATTCTGTAGAACTAGAAAAGCTGAAGAGAAGGGCCACAAACCTGGTCTTGGACATGCGCTTGACCAGGGCTAGTTTTGGCAGAAGCAAGTGAATTGAGTTGTGGTCCTATTATATCCACAAACCCCACCAGAATTCAAGCATTTGTTGCATTGATCACTACCTATTTCCCACCGCAGGTCGAAAACTGCGTTCAGAGTAACATTGACCATCCATGGATATTGATACAGAATCTAGGCAGCTGTTTCGTTGATTGGAATTTGGACATTGCTGGTGTATTCTTCTAGCAAGGGATCATTTGAGCTGGTAAAGGTACAATACAGGGACAGCCAATTGGCGGTGGTATTATTATTTTTGGTACAATTATATAGAGGTAGAGAAGAAGAATAATAATAAGAGTTTGAATCTAAGGTGCAATTGTAGAATATGGTGAGGTTTCTAAGCCCGCTTGAAACATAACTAAAGTGCTTGAAATCGATGGTGGTATTGATGAATTTCGTGGGACAAACATCGTCCCAATAATCATCTCTGGAAACCTTAAGAATCTGCTGTTCTGTGTTGATACCGAGAACTCTGAACGTGTTGTTCAGCATCTTGATCTTTGGTACATCATTTTGGCAACCCAGCTCAAACCCTGGTTGACAACAGTAATCCGCTTTATTCACTCCCCAGAAAGTGTAGCTCACATTTTCTATGCTTCCACATTTGAAAGTTTGGCTGCAGTTTGAGTAGGATAAATGACCGGTACATAAACTGGTTTGAAGTTTGATCAAGGTGACAATTAGAAAGATCAAGATAGAAGGAAGAGGTATGGCAGAACAAGTGGATTTGAAGTTTGAGTTCTTAATCATTTGCTTTACTTTTTAGTACACCAAAAGTGGAGTTTCAATAGGATAGCTTATCATATCAAAAACTAAGGGGCAAATATCTTTGGTATGTTTTGTCAGGGATTGTTTTGGCCTTTTGGGGACTTATTCTCAGTTGAGGGTTCTAGTTGCATTACGAATTCTTACTGCTTATTTGGTTTTTTTTCCAACCCTAATTTTTGCACTTGTAGCTGGTGGCATTCTCTGCTTCCTAATTTTGATGAAGTTGCATCTTCGCTTCTAAAACGAAGTATACTAATCAGCAGATCTAACAGTAAAATGAATTCCTAACATTTGAAGTTTTGAACTTACTCTATATGTTGTCAGAAGTCTTCCTAAAATCACTAGAAGGATTGGTTTAGGTGACCAAATCAAAAGGATGGTTGACAGATTCTCCATGCAATAGGATTCTTTTTTTTTTTTTTTTTTTTTTTTTTTTTT